ACATGAGTGATTTCACTAATTTCTCACTCTGGTTCTTTTTGAAAAACAATGAGAAGGAAGCATGAGAACTAATACCCTTAGAGAAAATAGAGAACATTTTTTCTCTTGCTACAGATATGTCAGTTAATAAATAAAATCAAAAGTGGAATATACCAGACTGCCCAAATAAAGACTTCAGTGGCACTAACAATAGAACAAAAATTAAGATTCTGATCTGTCACACAGTAGATTCATTTTATTATCAGGATAGTCTTTGGGAAATGCCTCAGATATATTGCTGTGGAAACAGCATGGCTATAGAACAATATTTTACAGGACTATAGGCTTGGTAACAATTCAAGATATTTAAAAAACTATATCAGTTCTTATGACTTAAAAAAATTTCATAGCTTTGAAAAATAATCAATTTTCAAACAAAGTAAAGAAACTTATCTTCACTTATTGTCAGTTTAATTTCTGCATGTGGCCCTATGTATTTAATAAAGAAAAATACAACTATCATGTTTTTAATATTAATAAATGAAGGCAGATGGAGAATATAAAAATGTTTTTTTATATTTCATGTCACTTCTAATGACAATGGAAAATTAAGAACCTTTAAAAATAGTATTTTTTTTCTACTAGTATATATCAACATATAGTTATAATTTTCTATCAACTTCCCTAGTTATGAGGACAATCTTTGTCCTGGAAAAATAAGAATAGTGAACAAACCTCAAACATTTTGATCACTATGCAGTAAAAGATATTTTGGCATTTATAACTGCTTATTATCTTTTAAAATGTAATTTTGGGAGAAAAATGTTAATTATTTTTGGGCAGGGGCTGAAGAAATCCCAGTGAGACATTCTGTAGAGAGGTCTTTCGTTAGTGTAACATCTGACCTTCTATATCTTTGGAAATCATGCAACTTGGCTAATGTAGTCCTTAAAAAATTAATCAAGTAGATTGTTAGGCCTGAGTTACAGTGGAGCCAGCCAATTATGAGTTGCTCAGAAATTCATCACTGGCATGTCCAACTACATTTTCCTACATAAAGATTAGTAGAAATATGTGAAGACAGGATCCATTCCCACCCCAGCACAGTGTTCAGTGAAACAAATTTCAACAATGTTTTCCCTTAGCAGAAACAAACAATTTATTTGGGAATTTTCTTGATTCCTGTCTTTACTCATAACACCGTTTATGTTTTGTTTTGTTTTTGCCAACATTGCAAAGGCTGCCCTATTTAGTTAAAACTAAACCAGGGATTTTTATATGCAAACACACTTCTGAATTAAGAGCACCAAAGTCACATGCCACAAGCCTGAATTCATCACTGTTACTGAAATCCCCAAAGACCAACACTATCTTTTCACTGCTGCGATAACGCCCTCCCAAGGCTTACTGAGAAGAAAGCCTGGATGCAGTAGAGAAATGAAAGGAGCCAGAGTAGGTGAAGATTGGTTCTCTAAGGAGAGGACAGTGCTGCTCTTGCACAAAGAAGCTCCTTTCAGATAAGCAGAATCAGATTCCAGTCCACTTGTTTGCTGGCTACCCTTACTTTGAACTCTCATATTTAACCCAGCAGGCTTCAAAGCAGGTGAGAAAGTGACCTACCACTTAAAAGCAATTTTTCCTTTTTCAGGAATTCTGGCCTTGGAGAATATCAGCTCTAATATCAGCACATTCCACATCTCCAGGGATTTATGCAATTTTTTCATTGCCGTATGTCTAATGTCAAGTTTTATCTCAGCCAGGAAAAATAAACCAGAAAAAAAAGTCCTAGCTCACAGAAAATGAGGTCTTATTCCACATTATTTTATTCTACCATATAAAAGGAGAAAGGGAACTAAAATCACGAACCACGCCATTGGTTCCCTTCCATTTATCAAAATCTGATGTGCAGTGTGGGTTATTAAAAATCATTGTTCCCTAGTGTCTTGCTTTGAGAAAAAGCAATCTTTGTTAACAAATTCATTTTAACAAATTCAAACTGAATTGACTCTAGCATGTACGCTAATATGAAAAGATATTAGAAGAGGGAGAGACAATGGTGACAACTAAGGAAATTTACTTAAATCGCTTTGCCTTACTAAACAGAAAAGCAGTATGTTTCACAGAAAAGTCTTCATTCATTTCTACTATATCTGACTTAATTGAAAATCCTAACAAAGGCAGTTTGAAAACTTACCAATAGATTCTATTCTATGAGACATTTGCCATGGCTAGGAGTTGAAACATTTTTCCACTTTCTGTGGTCCACATATATACTTATAAGGTACCAGAAGTATAGCACTAACAATATTGTTTACAGATTTACACTGCAGGAAATGCATTTTGAGTTTACTATTAGTACATAGCTCCCCAAAATGTGAAAGGGGTAGGGTCTCCTACTATAGCTGCGCTTTGGTAATGATGATGACAATGACAGTGGCGACAACAGGTAACACCTAGTTTTTACTATGGGCAGACACGGTTCTAAACACTTGACATATTTTAAACACATTTAACCCTCACACACAGAAAAGACCCTGTGAGGTAGTACTATTCTCACTTTACAGTGAGGGGAGAAAAAGTTAATTAAAGTACTCAACGTTGCATAGCCAATAAGTGTCAGGGTCAGAATCAAAGAAAAGCAGTCTGGTTCCAGAGCCTCTGCTCATAACCACTCAGCAATCCTGATCCTGCCCCTTCTCTACCTTGAAAAGGTGGTACTAACCAGGTGTTCTAAAATCCTCTTTTGGGGGGTAAAGTCAAGCAGGGCTTCTCGCTTTAATATGCATATAGGATGGCCTGGGGATCTTGTTAAAATGCTGATTCAGGCAGTCTGGAGTGGTGCTTGAGATTCTGCAATTCTAACAAGCTCCTGGGTCATCAATGGTGATGCTCCCAGTGCAGAGAACAAACTTTATTAAGTGGTGAAGATGTAGGATGTGAACCTCTTGTTCTCTTTCTGGCTGGCTGGCTATTTAGTCATTTATAGGTTATGTCTATATGCTGGAGACTTTCCATACCACAATCATTTTCCATCTATTCTTAAATGGAACCTGCCCTTAAAACTGCTGCATACTGAATATTGGTTTGCAGGTAATTTCAGTAAATACTTAGCTTTTAAGAACTTAAAACATATATATGAAAACCACAGGGACTGGTTGTAAAAGTTTGCTGTTGGGCACATTTTTAACACTATATATCACCAACTCTACAAATACCAGAAGATAGAAAATAAACGCCTATTCGTTGTTCATCAACCAGAATCATTGTGAATTAATATCTTTTGGCCTAAAAAAGGAGCTTCCACTTTAAAATCATAATAATTCATTCTCAGACGCTGCTAGAAGAGTGCTAAGGAGCTTGTGCTATGCAATCTTCAAGGCTCTTCTAGTACATCCGTGATCTCAATAAAGGCAAAAACTACCTATTAATACCAATGGACAGAGCTGATGATGAGTACACTCCACATTAATTTTAGCCAGTGCCTCATGGAAGTACACCACTAACATCTGCCACATCTCTACTCCAGACTGTACATCTCCCTCCTCGCTCTAGTTCACCTCCTTCCCACTGCCCCAAGACAAACCCAGTATTGAAGTAGCTCTCCCATTGCTTGTCTATGGTCTCAAATGCGAGCTGCATATTTTTTCCAGTTGCTAAATGGGTGGGATTCCCTTTCTAGGCCATTTTTTCCATGCCAGATTACACAGTAAGGTCATTTCAGTTTGAGATGCACTCACTCAATCAGCACCACTGCATACAACAGAGTTATGGTATAATCACTAAGCTTCCTCTTTACACCAAAAGAAAAGAGGATAGTCAGCTTCCAACCCAAATATCTATAATCCCTGAACAACAGAGAAAGTCATTCTTCTTCAAGCTTGACCCAAAATCAAGTGTGGTCTCAGACTCCTAGGCCTACAGCCAGTGGCAACTTAACACATTATACAGTTGACCTTCAGGGGAAAAGGGAAACCAGTGCTCTTACTACTGGTGCCAGAAGAAAACCAACTAATCTTTAAGGCACAGAACAAACTATTCTTAAGGCAGGAAAAGAAATTGTGAGGAAACAGGGAGTTCAAATGGAGGTATTTACAGAAAAATATTGAAATCACATTACCAAGTAAGGGCTAGTGTTTCTATGGTTCTCAGTGCTCTTCTATTTGGGAATAAATGAATCATCATTTTCTTTTTAGGTTTGAACTCTTATTACCTGGTAAAAATGCAAAGATGTACAAGAAAGACACATTTTTTTAAAAGGCTTAGAGACTTAACAAGAATTCTCTTTGGTAATTTTACTTTGAGCCAGTGATAGTAATTTATAAGTTTATGTAGAAGAGTAAATAACCATGGGAGACCCTCTGTAGAATCAGTCCTCAAGTACTTCCTGGACCTGCATAAGGAAATGGGGAAGTAGCTCAAAACCAAAGGGTAAAAATAAAAATAAAGGTCTACACATGGTTCTACACTCCAGGGCGCGGAAAGTCAATAAGAACATGCAGATGCTATAACAGGGAGAACCTCTGAGTAAAGAGGCACATCTGTGCCCAGTGTGAATGTCCTAACTGTCCCATATTACTTACTTATTCTCCTTCTTAGTCGCACTCTTGAATTGAAAGTTCAGCAAATACTTAGAACTAATAATTTCATTTAAATGGAAAAATCAAATGGCTTGTTTATAAAATAGGAATTTTTTTAAATGCCAAGAAAATATATTTAAAAGAACTGGATTATTCTTTAGCTAGTAACAAGTGCTATGTATGTTTACTACCAAACGTGATCTACAAAGACCAACTTTATAATGTTATGCCATTGTTTTCTTCAAACTTTTAAGCAACAAAAATATAGCTCAAATCACCGAAAATTTGTTTGACATATTTATGGCAGCAAGTTTACAAATCAATTCCTGTAATTTACTATAACAAGTATCATCCACCATACAACTGGTTTAGCACAAACACATTAGAGATGGTTTTTTGTGTGTTTTACAAATGCTCTACACAAGTCCTTGAGATCATACTTACAGCTTTAGCAAAAACACCCATGATTTCAGGAAACTGGTGTGTGAGAAGAGCTATCATTGCTGTAGAAGAACACAGTCCTGCTGTGAAATAGATGAAAAAAGGAAGCTCCTTCTTTGGGTAAACAGATACTTGATGAAAGGCTGCAAGGGAGAAAAGGTAGAAGTAGATTTTATTTAAGACTAGAGTGTAAGCCAGTTTTAATATTTTCAAGCAAAATCTATTATCTAAAACTAAAAAGAAAATTAATTAAAAAACAAAAAAGAACAAGAAGTCTCTGGCTAAGCAAGGTAGAAAAAAGTTATCCATTATTTATTCCAGTATCCACAGGGTATCCACATAGCCAGAGGACTGTGCTGGCCACTGGGAATAGGATGGCATCGTGGGAAAGAACACTAATTGTAAAGTCATGCTGAGGTGGTTCTGAAAAAGAGCTTTGTCACTTATTAGCTGTGTGATCTTGAATAAGTTGCTAAACCCTCTATTAGTTGCTAAGGAGTTGTTATGATGAACATTGTAAGCCCTTAATAAATGTAAGTTATTATAATTCTTGCTCTTTGGGAACTCAGAGGGGAGTGTAGAGATCAAGAGACAGACATGTGGTTGGAGATTTTCCAAACCATCAGTTATTTATTTCACCCAGTTATTCTATACTAGAGGCCTGGTGCACGAATTCATGCACGGGTGGGGTACCTCTGCCTGGCTGGCGTCAGGCCGGTGGCCAGGGAGGGCTCCAGGGCATGTCTGGCCCCATCTTGCCCAGTCCCCATTGGCTGGACCCCAGCAGCAAGCTAACCTGCTGGTTGGAGCATCTGCCCCCTGGTGGTCAGTGCATGTCATAGTTACCAGTTGGTCAACCACTTTGTTGGACACTTAGCATATTAGGCTTTTATATATATGGATGTGGCATCCATTGAGCAGTATAAAAATTGAACTAGAATACCAAAGCCCAAGGATTCTGGACATAAATGAAATCCCGTGTCTTATTTTACCACAAACATTTACTCAGGTATTACTTTTCTAATAATTGGGTATTTCATTACCAATAGTATTCAAGTACTTATATTTTATTTGAAATTTGAAAATACTTGTATAACAATGCTAAGATGAGCCTATGACAATGCTTGACACACAGTAGGTGCTAAATAAATGTCTGTTGAACTAAAAGCTATTGTGCAACTTCATTAGTCCAGGAAGTTAACTGCTCAGAGCTGGACACAAACCCAAGGAATTCCTAATGTAATATCCTACATAAGTAAGGGATGACTAATTCAGTGCTGAATCAAGGTCAGCTATAAATTTCACTTTTTAAACATAATGATTCACAGAGCATATTACACCTAAGTTTCCTTCAGTAGACATGATATTTTTAGGTCCTATACTATATTCAGAAAGTATAGACCCAAAACCAAACTCATTAAAAATCCAAAAAATGTCCAGGGCCTTGAGTCATGTTTAAAGTGAAAGCACAACAAATCTGACTTTTAAAAAAATTATAAACATTAGAAGCTGTGGACAACACTATGCTTTCAGCACCCAAAAAATAGCATTCCCTTATGCCCCATCCCTCAGCCATGAGAGGCCAACCTCTTCCAGCAAACTACGAGAACCAAACCATGGTATTCTCAAAGATGGGAAAAAATACTTACCAATTGTTAAGTATACCAATGGCTACTATAATTGCTATCATTTGAGATACAGTAAAATTAATATTAATTAAACTGTACAGCATTTTATGGTTTACAAACTGCCTTTTCATTTATATTACTTTTATATCTTTTAATGTAAAAGTAATATAAATTACTAAGAAACAGATATTATTCCCACTTTATAAGGTAGGAAACTGTATAGCTTTATTAAGATAACTTCCTGCCGAAACCGGTTTGGCTCGGTGGATAGAGCGTCGGCCTGCGGACTGAAAGGTCCCAGGTTCGATTCCGGTCAAGGGCATGTACCTGGGTTGCGGGCACATCCCCAGTGGGAGATGTGCAGGAGGCAGCTGATCGATGTTTCTCTCTCATCGATGTTTCTAACTCTCTATCTCTCTCCCTTCCTCTCTGTAAAAAATCAATAAAATATATTTTAAAAAAAAAAGATAACTTCCTAAAATATGAGATTTTTATACTGTAGAAGAGACCTAATTATTTATTTTTTGATTGCTTTCTATAGATTCATTTCAGTCAATGTTTAGCTAATACATCAATATAATGGATGACTAGTACAGAAACACTCCCTTGGAAGTAAGTTCAAATTTCATCACTGGCTTGTAGAGAAAAATTTATCAGGAGGCATAAAAGACAACCAAAGAGCTATGTGAACTAAGGGAATAGTTCAAGTCTGAACTTATGAGGCTCATAGCAAATTCCAGAATGCTGTAAGTCATATCAAGGTTGAAGGAGAATTGAAAACAAAAAATATTAAGTACTCCTGAGTATTAGAACTCCACATTATTAAAAATGTGTTCATTCTACCATAGTCAGAGACAGGAAAAAATACTCTAAGAACACACAATATAATATATGCCTGGAATTTGCATATGAGTCGCACCCTAGAAATAATAAAGTGCTGCCAAGAAGCGAACTGTCTGTTCTTATAGCCTATGGCTCTGACAATACATGATAATAACCCTGGTTTTAGTCATATAATTACTATGTAAAGTTGGCCTCATATCAGGTAACCTTTGTGATGATTTGGGGGACATTATTTTAGGCTAAATGTATTAGCTTAATATAATACACTCTTAAATACTGATGCTCCATAATTAAAAACATGTTTCTTTGCCTTAAATATCTTTGTTCCTGTTAAAATGGAAAAACAGTAATAATTACTACCACCACCATCCTAGGATAGAAAATTTCTCACCCATGACCTGCTAATTGCTAAAGTCAATGGATTCTTCTCAGTAATTACGTACCTTACTTAATCTCTCAGATACTCCTCCTCACTTGGAAATATTTTCCTCCTTTTAGTTTCTAGGATATCAGCTTCTGGCTCTTGTCCTGTCTCTCTGACCACTCCTTCACACTGAACCTTCCAGACTCCTTATCAGTCACTCATTCCTGAGACATTTTTGTGCCCTCACGGTTCCACCCTTAGTTTACTTCTCACTCTATAGTTTCCCTTAGTGATCTCGTTTATGCCTAGAAAATTATGACTGTGTAATAAAATATTTCATTTTAAATGAACATGTATATGTGTCTATATAGGTGAGATGTAATACGTGCAACATACTCAAAGTCTGAACTCATTTACTCCCCTACTCCTATTCCCAAACCTGCTCCTCCTGCTATATGAAGGATTTACCATCCAAGTCTCAAGTCACCCGAGTCAGATTTAGGAGTCATCCCTGACCTTGGAGATGTAGGCATCCCCCATTCCAGCTTCCTAATAATCTATTCCATACATACAGCACTCAACTCATTGTTTATCAGTCTTTCTATTAACCTGTGTTCAGAGCAGGCTAAGGAAGAAAAGGTACTAATAATTAACATTTCTATTGAGTACTTATAATGATCTTGGCATGTTTATAAGAATAAATTAATAAACATGACTAATTCAAGTAATATTTCTTGAAAATCAATTTTATGGTGATTGTTACAGAGATACATAGAGGGACAATAAAGAGAATCCTGGCTTTCAAGCTTAAAATCTAGAAGGGGGAGATTAAGAAGTACACAAAGTACTTTGATAGTTCAAAGAAAGAAGACATAACTTATTTATCTCAGAGCATGGAGGAAAATAAAAAACCCTGGAAGAAAAATATCAGCACACCCAACTTCTACAATCTCTCCTAAATTGTCATTTGTCTGTTTGAACTTCTCAGCTCATTAAGTTTGAGGCTTGTGAAACGGCAATTTTCCTCCTTAGACTTCAATTCTAATGGCTCCAGAATTGTAAAAACTGTGGCACAGGTTTAAATCATATAAGGAAACATGGTACTAGTGTTTACTAACCTTCAGGTTTACTGGTTAAATCATAAAAAGAAAAGTTTAATAGAAATTTATCAGTTCACTGAGAAAAACAGTGAGTGGATGATACGGACTGAGACAAAAAATATAGACTATTCTTTTGAGAGTCCAGCTTCCTGACAGCAAGAACGAGACAGAAATGCTCTCAGCGTTATAACCCTACACAGTTCAGGTTCTTCTCCTAACTTTTCGACTGCTCTTTTTAAAATTGGGAAGTGTAGTCAATCCAAATTCATTTTTCTTTGTAAAGACTGCTTTGTCTATTCTGGGTCCTT